GGCAAGCATTATGCGAATGTGTAAATAGTTAGCGTAATATTGTGGTATAATCCTGAGTCATTGTGTTTTACGGTTCTTGTTATTGTTGTATTTTGAGGGGTTAAAAATGACTGTTGGGTTCATGCTGTGTGTGTTGGGTTGCATCGAGCATTCGATGCTCGAACCTGTTGACTGCTGTTCGATTGGATGTGTTTTTCTCGCTGTATTATTATGCCTGTGTGTGTGGAGAGTTCTGTAGTTGCTGTGACGGAGAAAATAAAGTAAACAGAGAGCTGGCTGACTGTGTGAGTTGAGAACGGTGAATTACGCCACTGAAGAGCATTTCAGGGTGAGGGCGCACATGGTGCCAGTAATAGAAGGTGGAGGTGTGATCCTTGAGGGATTGTAAAGCTGCGCGGTGCATAGAGCCCGGTCGCAACAGTGTTAGTCTTATTGTAGGAGCTAGCACCCCGCTAGCTAGCAGTTGCCCAGTTAGCATTCGCTCCTCTCCTCCGCGCCGGAGGTCGCTACAATATGTACACCGATCAGCCATAACATTATGACCACCTGTCTAATACTGTTGCACAAGCACATTCACTGCCCCTTACCTTGTTAAAACACTACAATATTTTGAGAACAATTGTTTCCGTGTAATTGAGTTATTTAAACAAAGTAATTTATTGAAAAACATTTGACAAGTAGTATTAGATTCCATTGTATCGTTGTGTTTCATACTCATAATACACTAAACAAAAATAGAAATGTTATTTTTATGAATGAATACCTGAACAATACATGAAATGCATTTATTAAGATGTGCACATGAAGCCTCCAGAAATGAACCTTTTTGTGAACCATTTGCCTAGAAGGCTTCAGGGCTTCAAGAAGCTTCATCTCACCATCACTATTAAAAACACACAGGTAAAAATATAGAAAGGTAAAACATGAAGGGTACATTTTACAAATAGATAAAATTATGGACCATCCAGTGCTGGAGTTCTCCACTCAGGTACAGACACCCAGGTAGAAAATGTACAGAAAGACATGGAATTGCACATAGTGAAAAGAGAGACAGGCACAAAGACATACAGGTAAAATGAGAGACAGCTACAAGTACACAAACGTTTTACATGTCCAGATTTAGTTTCTAATTGTTGGATTGTGTCTATCAGCCCACCTGGAGGGAGTCTCTATCCTCATTAGTGCACAGCGCTCGTCATGCCCTGTTACCACGGCGATACGTTCAGAGAGAAGCCGATAGGAGGAAGGTCCTGATGTGGGTGGAGTCAGGGCAGTCTCCAAACAGGTGAGCCAGGTGTGGATTCACTGTCAAAATGTTTCACAGAAAGATGTCACAGCTGGAATAAAGACTGTTAAAACACCAGTTCTTGCCTAAATGTACTTGTTATACATCTTTATTAAAGATGTATAAGCAACAAGCAACTTTTTCTAGTTAAACTACTTTTTACCATTTTACACATCCTACCTGGTGAAGAAAGCCCAGCAAAGGCTCTTCTTCCTCAGGAAGCTGAAACGCGCTGGTCTCTCCTCTCAGCTGCTCACAAACTTCTACAGAGTGACAGTAGAAAGCATCCTCTGTCTCAGTGCGACAGTGTGTTATGGGAGCTGCACTGCACAGGGCAGAAAGGACTTGACCCGGGTGGTGAGAACAGCTCAGGGCATCGTAGGGAGTCCTCTTCTGGATCTGGACTCACTATACACTGACCGGATCCAGAGGAGGGCCAGACGGATTGCTGCAGACCCCACCCACTCAGGCAACAGTCTGTTTGTCCCTCTTCCCTCCAGGAAAAGTTACAGGAATATAAAGACTAAAACAAACAGACTGAGCCACAGCTTCTTCCCCAGAGCTGTGAAATCAATCACCCCCCTAACCCCTAGTTACACACACACAACCTCCCCCCTATGGACAGACACAGAACACTGGACCTCACACCTCTTCCTAAAGACTGAGATTTGGACTGAGCTGCACTTTATAATGTTACTACACTCTGTTGCTGCAAACATGTTGCTGACCTGATTAGGTCCCATACATCCTTCTTGATTTGTTCATATTTTATATTGACTTAAACAATTGTTGTATTATTTATGTAAATAATGTGTCTTTTAAGCCGAGAGCTTGACTTGACTCAACTCCTAAAGCAATATTTGTGAATTTATTTTGTAGATTTGTAGAACAAATATAAGGGGAAAAACATTTTTTTTAAATTAGACACAGACATGAAATGATATATTTTACTAAAACACCTTCTTACTCAAGTCTTTTTTAAGTGTAGTTGTGTTTTTATTTTTACACACTCATTAAACATTGTTTCTCAGTGCTCCACCCCCTTCTGATGCCTCAACACAGCTGGCTGACTCAGCTGTCTGTCACAGCCCCTCCTCTAATGGAGATATTTCCCATGATGCTTCAGCACGCCCTCCTTCCTGCTTGTCATCTTCTAAAGCTCTGCAGACTGAGGAGGAGATGCCGACTCAGCAGGTGAGCTTTGACCTCTGATGACCTCACTGTAGAGTCTAAATTTTTATGGCAACTGTACACAATAATAAAAAAAACATTTTAATCTCAATTAATTTGTGCGCTGCTGAGCAGGCGTCAGCGCTGCTGACTGAAGTCAGAGATCTGCAGAGGGACAAATGGTGAGACTGGAGAACAATCAGTCACACACAGATTTATTGTTCACCACTTTCATGTTTGTTTATTTGTTTTTCCCTCTTCAGGCTGTTGGAGCAGGAGCTGCAAGCGTGGAGGCTCACTGTCCAATCGGAGCAGGGTATCCTGGAGGACAGGTGCTCAGAAATGGAGGTTACCGTGGAAACGCTGAGACAACACAACCAGCATCTGCAGGGAATGCTCACACAGGTCAGCACAGTCACACCTTAACAGTGTCACCTCGTGTGGCTGAGAGAATCCAAGCTGCTCTATAATGATTAAAGTGCGTTTTGTCAGCATCAGAGGCTGGAGTCACAGGAGGCAGAGTCACACAGCTTTATATTTGTGGTCTGTGGTGTAAGATGATGAGAGAGAGTGAAATTGGCAGGGCAGAACATGAAAACAAGCAGAGACTCAAAGCGATGTCGAAAACATGACAAATGACCATAAACTGTGGCGTGTCTCAGTTTTGTGGCCTGGTAGCCTTGTTTACCTGAAGCTACACTTTAAACCTCATGTTCACCACAGCCACCATTAATCAATGAACCTCAGCACTGATAAATGCTCCAGGTCTTTACAAAATAAGAATCAGTTCCAACCAGGTGTTGTGGGCCATCCTGTCTGAATTTAGTTGTTGCTCTTTCCTCCTTAAGGCTTTGAACAAGATGGAGGCTCAACAACAAGCCCACAACACGCCACATGATGTCAACACAGAGAGCACAGAGAGAGAAAACATCACACCAACACAGAGAAACACTGAAGAAGAAGAAGAGGAGGAGGAGGAGGAAGTGTTTATGAACACAGAGGATGAGTGGAGTGAGAATGGAGAACAAACTCCATCTCCCACATTCCACCAGGAGACACCTCCGTCACATGACATCCACTATGAGGAAGAGGGGTCTGCAGGTGACAGATGTCTCTGTTGTCCAGTAGAACAAGAGAATAGACCAGAGGAAGTAAGGCCACAGGGACAAGAGGCTTATCTGTCTGAAGAAGAGGAGTATTGTGGGACATGTAGTCCAGAGGAGCTGCTGCAGGAAACAGTTGACAAACTGAAGAAGGTGATGGAGGCCGACAGGTGGACAGAGAGATGGACAGGTGAGCCAGTCCCACTTGTCACCATATTTCTTTATTAAATTATCTACTTTTTTAATGATACTGACTTTTATTGGCCAAGTATGTTACACACAAGGAGTTTGTCTCCGGTACAGAACCAGGGCAGCCATCTGTGGCACCAACTCAAACACACACACAGACCGCTGGTGGCACTGTCCCTGCAAAGTGCTTCTCTGGGAGCAACTTGCTCAAGGACACTTCGAAATGTGGACTGGGGAGAATGAGAATCAAACCACCGATCTTCCGGTTGGGAGCCACAGCTGCCCCATTCTTATTACTAATCTCAATAATAATTTATTATAAATTATGTATAAAATATGTAGGTATTATTTATTGCTTTTTACACACCTTTCTTTATTAAAAATCTGCTTTTGTTTTCAAAACGTTTAAATCTTTTCTTTTAAAAAGATTATGTTAAAGCTACTGTCGCAGTTTAGTTAAGATTTTACAAATATGAAGTTCTCCATATTTTCTCTTTGTACTAACTGACAAATAATTTTGAAGTTTTTCATTGTCTGTCTACAGGTGACAGGAAAAGGGTTGAGCTTCTAGAGGCAGCAGACCATGTGGGAGACTCGATACATCAGCTGGTGGATGCCGTGAGGACAAGCACACACTGACCAGAGGAAATATTATTCAGGTTATAAAAACTGTTTATTCAACCTTAACTTATTTAAATAAGCACAAGTGTAAAGGTAGAAAATGTTCTGATGTTAGCAACAGGAAATATTAACAAACAGTAACAACAGCACCTGTAAAAAAAAAAAAAAAAAATAACAAAGGGCCTCACAGGCCGTCTCACCAGACACACAGGCCTCGGATGTTTAGTGCTACAAAAACATGAAGATGCCAAAATTTGAATAAAATCATTTAATTACACTCAACTCTGATTTTCCTTCTGTGTGCATGTGATGTACTGTATGGCACAGTTACAAAACAAATCGATGTTTTATGTTTATGTATGAAAGAAATGTATGTATAATGAAATAACAAAATTGAATCCAGTCATTTTAATTATAAAGAGTGTCTTTACTTAAATTTTTGAGTTTCATTTTTATTTACTATTGGGTTAAATTAATACAATTATATTTGATGTATAGAAAATTTTCAAAATTTTATTTACATAATGTATAACAAACTAAAAGTGACATATGACAAAATAGTTTTAAAACACACTGTGTCAAAATATAAATGTTCACTTTTA